TGGCTCTTTCATTTTTATTAAGGCTTCCATTATTTTTAATCTTGTTTTTACATGTAGATGAGGTTATTATATATGTATTTTCGACTAGTATGTATTGGATTGAGTCTGGTAAGTTTCTGTGTATGTTTAAATGGGTTCTATAGATCCGTGGTCAGGAAGGTGTAACGTAAGACATCTGGATTGGCATGTAGCAGTGTGATCGATGAAAGTATTTATAAATTCGGTTTGATCAGGAACACAGTTCCTTAAGGGGCATTTGAACTCATAAATACTATTCGTTCGTTGTAATTTTGATTTTGATGATGTGTTATAACATTTGAGGATAAGGGTAGCTTTAACTTTTTTTTTATAGTAGATAATTAATTTGATTTTTTCTTCAAGGCAATTAGGGTAGTGTATTTTTTATGATATTTCTAAGTGAAGATTCATCTTGTTTGGAGGTAACGTGAATTTCGATTTTGTAGAAAATATTTATGTTGTTTTTTAAAACATTTAATTTATGACTGTGTGTTTACTATCATTGTTATTTAATTTGCGAAGAAATAGTCTAATTTGGTGGTCTATAAAGTGGTTAGCGAAGCCATTGTTAACTAGAATCTCTTTTGCATTGTTGAGTTCTTTAAGGAAGAGTAAGCGAGAGGATGAATTCTGGTGTGCTCTTTTTAGGAAGATTTTTTTTTATCACTGCTATTTTGTATCTCAGTGGGTATTCACTCTTAAAGTTAAGATGGCTGGCATTTCTACTGATGGGCTTTTAAAACAATGAGGTGTTAAAAGTGTTATTACTATACTTTACGAGATCATCTAAGAATGGGAGTTTATTTTGTTGATTAACTTCGTAGGTAAAGTTAAGCGTGGTCGTAAGAGTATCTATTTCTTTTGTGTTATTCGTTAAAATTATTTTCTACGTATCGGACATATATTTTTCATTTACAGACCTGTTTAAGTATTATATTTTCTACGCGTAGTACTGGCTTCATAATACTACAATCTGCTGAAATTTATAAAAGCTTTCTGTTAAAACAATTATACAGGAAATTAGTTTTTTCGAATTCAGTAGCTGTTATGGTTCTTTCCACTATTTATGGAGGTTTTCTTTTAACATTTTATTCGAGTTAATATGCAAGGTCAACATTTTGTTTGTGTCATTATTTACTTCTCGGTCTAGATTTGCTATCCATCTTAATTATTAGCTCATTTGAAATCATCAAGTGATAGGGTTACTGTTATCTGGAACAGTTCTTTCTTTGTGATTCTGTTGTGCAAATCCACAATGTTGAAAGAATGATGGTCTTCGCCAAGATCGCTAATTGTTAATACAGTTATTTGCGATAGACTGCTGAGATTTGAAATAATTCCTTATTTGGCACCACACCGTGAGCAGCCATATTGCTATTCAGTAACCATTATCCACGGATTTGCTTGTTAAACGATACACTACCATGAAGATACACAGCAATGCTTAATTTACATACATTTCTTCAAAATGTGTAGTATGTTTTTTCACATACACACAATTACACAGACATATACACAGAAACATAAAAACACACACAAAGGCACACATACACAGACTTACACACACAGGCGTATATATATATATATATATATATATATATATATATATATATGTGTGTGTGTGTGTGTGTGTGTGTGTGTGTGTGTGTACGGAGGAAAAGTGTGTGTGTGTGTGTGTGTGAAAGGATGAAAAAAGCTTTTTCGCTTCGACATTTTTCGAAATGTATGCCATTTTTTTTTCGTGGGTTAATCCCCAGTAGATAATATGACGTCTTTACGTTCCTTTAAGCGGGGTACAGGAGCTGTTATGCGAATGTTACCAGATATGGGACCCGAAAACTCCAATATTACGACTGCTGAAATTTACTTATTTTATTTTATTTTATTTTATTTATTGCAAGTATGTGCTGGAGATCAGTGCTGAATCCTCTCAGCGTGAGTATAATTTCGGGTGAGCATCGTGTTTCTAATCGCGAATCGTATCGTGTCTGCCGCTCGGCCCCCGCCGTCATGTCAAAAATAATTCCTATCATAAATGGCGGTAAAAAGCTAACGTCCGCTGATCACGTCAACTGGGTACGGATTACTTCTTTTGACAGGTGCACCACTTAGACTATTCTTTATAATCCCACAAACATTTGCGTGCGCGGAATTATTTCCCGATTTTTACTAATACCATTCACGTTGAAGGCATTGCAACCGCTTCGAATATTGTCTATTATTTTAGCTGCCCATTGAACGCGTAATTATTATTTTTCAAACTCAGCAGCCATTATTATTATTATTATTATTATTATTACTGATGCTTTTTTCCTTTTGGGATAAACAGAATTGAAAACGGCACAAGGCCAAATATTAGGAAAAAGGTAAAAAGTTGTTTTGTAACAATCTTTCAAATTACCAGAGCTTGCCTTCTTTAAAAATAAGTATTGAAAGCACTATTTACCTGAGCTTAAACACAGTCGTATCTGCTTGGGAATACCAAGTGCTGTAAGATTGGATGTGTGGGTGGTGTAACGGATAATGGCTCGGAATTGGAAATCTGAATGCTGAGTTCCAATTCCAATCTTGTTCGTTATATCTACTTCCATGCATAAAACCTAAGGTATGAACTCACTCCTTTCTCGCTCAGTTATGGATTGATTTGTAAGATTGTATTAGTAAAATCATTAGTATCCCCCCAAAATTCTTGCAATTTTAAAATATTTCCTGGCTTTAAATAACTTTCAAAAGGTTGATAATCCGTAAAAATAAATCAGTTTATGAGTCAATCGCAAATAAGTCCCCTGGGTCTCTATGATCATACATAACAAGACATTTTATTTCTCAGAATTATTGTTTTTTTATTCCGTAATAATTTGTTTGTCTATTATAATAATAACTAATATCCGTTGAGCGTAATGGATATCAACGTCAATAGTGGAATCGGTGTGTCGTGTTCAAGTTCCGGGATGGCTATCAGTTATAGTGCAAACTTTTCGAGTTCTAAACCACAGAAAAATCATCAGGAAATCCCTCCACAATCTCTCCCAAGAAAGAATGGCAATTCCCAGTCAATGAAGAAAAGAGATACGTGGAGAGCCATGACAGCTTACATATCATCTTCAAAAATATTATTTAATGCTTATGACAGATGTCTAGCCGTATTCAATGGATATCGATTGAGATCAAGTCTTTTTAATTTTCAATGCCTTGATCAATTTACTCGGGCAGCCTGTGCTCAGCAGTCACAACCTTTTCTCAAGCTGTTGATTCATTAAGTTTCGCCTGTAATGCTTTTTTTAGGGTTCCAAACCCACCAACTATTATAGGCATATCCTTCCACACATTACTCAGCTCGGGACTAGGTTTTGGTATTTCGAAAGACTTTTTTCGCTCCTAGTGTCCCGGATGCATCAATATTTCCTCGATGTAATAGTCACTCTTTAGCCTTGTGTTCTTTGATAACGATTATCTTCGCGTTTGGATAAATTGAGCAGTTATTATTGAAAGAGAAATCGTCGAGTTCAAATTCTAAACGAAAGTGGGCTTTAACTTTGCAATGATGATCATGGAAAAGAGATGAATCTCTTCCACTTCTCTCTCTCTCTCTACACCTATGCGTTATATAGTGAAGAAACTGGGATCCCTAGTTTTGGATGGCAACCAATCTTAGAGAATGAGTATTCTGAATTCCAAGTCGTGAAGAAGGCAACAAGAAATTACTCCATCTTCCCCAATAAGCCATGGCAATTCATACATCGTAATTTCTTATTATTCTATTTCTTTTCCGTTTTAAAGACATTCTTGAGTGATTTTCTTCTTTCATAATCTTCTGCTTCTCCTTCATTTTCAGAAACTCTTCTGACGTTTTTTTTTTCATTTTCTTCTTCGTTTTTAGACTCTCGTGAGCTATTTTATTTCATTTTTTTTTCATTTAATTCCTCATTCATTTCTTCTTTTTCAGGCTCTCTTGAGTCATTTTTTCAGCTTTTAGTACTCTTCCGAATGTTTTGGCCCATTTTCTTTTTCATTTCCTTTTTTTATTTCTTCTTCATTTTCAGACTCGCTTGCATCATTTTCTGCTTTCATCGTCTTTGGATTTTTCAGAATCTTTTGACCCATTTCCTTTTTTCATTTCCTTTGGTTTCTTTTATTTCTTCTCTTTGTGTTTAAACTCTCTTGAGTCATTTTTTTCTTTCATCTTCATATTTTTCAGAATCTTTTGGCCAATTTCTTTTTTCATTTCCCTCTTCACTTAATTCTTTTTCCTTTTCAGACATTCTTGAGTCATTATCTTTCATCTTCTTTGTATTTTTCAGAAACTTGTTACCCATTTCTTTTTTTAGTTTTCTTCTCCTTGTATTTCTTTTATTTCTTTTTCTTTTTCAGACTGTCTTGTGTCATTTTATTCTTTCATCTTCTGCGTATTTTTCTGAATTTTTGGGGCAATGTCTTTTTCATTTCCTTCTTCTTCTTCTTCTTCTTCTTCTTCTTCAGACTGTCTTGTGTCATTTTCTTCTTTCTTCTTTTTCCACTTTTCAAAAATTTCTCGAATCGCTTTCTCCTATGATTTTCTTCTTTTTTTACACCCGTACTTTTCCTGAATTGCTAAATTTTCCCATCAAATTGGTTACAGAAGCTGTCGGGAATAAAAGTCAAAGTTTACAGATACCTGCAATAAGCGGACTCGCTCTTGATTTTGAAATCCGAGTTGACTTTCAAGACTGGTTGCTTCCACTGCTTTCAGTCTCACATTAGATTTAACTACAGCTCAGGAGAATACGAAAAAAGATTCATGCCTTTCCCAAGAAATCGAAATAACTCTGCCTGATTTTGAACTTGGCTCGTCGATCGGATCTTTTGCACTTATAACAATTCCATTTTAGTACTAGTATTTTATGGAAATATGAACACCAAGTCATAATATTTCCCAGTTTTTATCTATATAGATAAAAGACAACTAAATAGGAAGGATTTAACAACTTCAGTGTATTCATAGCTTACGGCCAAATCACGTTCAAACACCAGTTCCCGTGCGGCCAGCGATGTTAAGAAATGTCAGGTCTGGCCAGTACCTAGATGGGTAACCGCTTGGGAATATCAGGTGGAATAAGACTGGATTGTGCAGGTTGTCTAATCGACAGTAGTTCGCAAATGTTAATTCCAGAGACGGTTTCCAATTCCTGTTGGGTTCATTGTAGTCACACTGGGATGGATCCACTTCTTCTCCCCAGCTAAGGGTTAATTAGTAAGAATTGTATCACTAAATCATTATTATCTCCAAAAACAATTCTGCCAATTTAAAAATATATCCTGGCTTTAAATAACCTGCAAAAGGTTGATAAGCCGTGGAAAAATGGATCAATCCATCAATTTTATTCATACGTGAATTTCTATCAATTTATTTAGTTGTCCTCAGAAGAACACTTCTTGTCACTTCTTCCCAACCATTTCTGTTATCAATAGCTCTATTTAGTTTTTACTTTATCGTCTCTGAACGGATTGATTTTGGTCTTTTCAAATAATTTGGATCCAATAATATAAGCCGCCGGCCAACTCCTTGGTTACATCTCCACCAATGTCCAGTAATGCGCGCTCGTTTTTCACAGGTTACATCTGTAAACTTTGGAAGTTTCCTCAAGAGCAGATATGTTCGCATACTGTCCTCTTCACACAATTCCTCAGTCGTATTAGGATTGGGTTTCCGGATCCTTTGAATGTCTTCTCATTGTCTAACACTTCCAGTAGCCCACTGCGTCATAGAGGCATTATCACCTTGCTTGGAGTGAATTGATTACAAAAATAATTTCTCATTGTCCATATGATAACATTTAGGACAACAGTTGTGTTGTAGATTCCGGGATGAAATCCGGTACCAATAAATAACAAACGCCAAGAAAGAATATATGAAAATAATGTATTAACTTAATAATACAAACTGGTAATGCAGGTTAGTAGTTCCAGCAATACGGGTTAGCAGCAAAAAATATATATACAGTCTTGGGTATTGAAGTATCGCTGTATGACTTCTTACTGAGTCTACGTTCTCATTCACTGTGACTCTTGCTGGCTACGTTCGTTCTGTCTGTTACCTTCAACATTTCACTCCTCCTCTTGTCTCTTTCCGGTCTTCACGTAGCCATAGTATATGTAAATACTGGGTGAGTCCATTTGTGTAAAAAGGGGAGAACCCCTCAACAAGTTGTGTGTACATAGTTCTTTGTCAGTGGTTTTGTTGATGTTCAATTGCTTTACCTGAATAAATGGACTATTTCTACCGTTGACCTAAAGAGTTGCATTTTCAGACATTTTTTATTCCCAGGTAGTATTCATTTTTTTATAGTACTGTCCACTGCTTTACAATACTAATATCTATGTACATTTGTGAATGGTTCAGCAATGCCACAAGATCTAAAAAAAAGAATAATCCGCTTACTTTTTAAAAGTGTAAATATTCATTCTTCATGCCTACTGAAAATACGATAGATAGAAAACTACAATGCCATGGCTTGTAGAGACTTTGGAATCAGGATTAGCCGAACATGCCTGGTGGGAGGAGCTAGTGCACTAATCACTGTAGAAGGAATTTAAAAATAAGAGACAAAAAATACAAGGAAATAAGTCGATTAAAAGAACGGGCAATCAAGCACAAAATATTCAGTTAGCATGCTGAATATCGATATCATATAAAGACATCTTTACTCTAAAATGAGAAGGACTTTGGTTTAAGATTCGAAAAATCGAACAACCAGTACATCACGTAGGATAAAAGAATTAGATTTTTTTCTGGCGTCATAAATCCCTGGGTCAGTTAGTAAAAGAATAAACCAACTCTGTGGAGACAAACAAAGATGGATGTGCCAGCGTTTAATGTAACTTCCTCCTTGTAGCCATTGTTGGATTGGCCATGTCGTTGCCAGCTACCTCGTCGAAAAACCTTTTCGTACCTTCCAGAATTCCCAGAGCTTCAAGAAGAGAAAAGAAAACGAAAAACACTCATATATTATTGAATAGCATAAATTTTAATTAGAGGACAACTTCAAAATTAAACACACAATACGACTGTTCTCTTTTTATCTTAATTTTACTATTAGTAGAAGGAAGACAACAAGAACTGATAGAATAATTTCAAGATACACTATGAAATATTCCGTATTTGAAGGCGACCCGTCATTCCACGCCATACCTCACCCTCGAGAGATGGCTAAAGTAATTACCTGATGTCTGATGTGTCTTCAAAGCGGAAATGCCGAAGAAACCTGTCAATTTTGGGACTCTGAATGTATCCTAAATTTAAGCTTTCTGCCACATTATGTTTGTGGATGTTATGGATATTAGTGCTGGGTTGATTCTTTCACCTAAACATCCAAAAACTTGTTGAATGCCTTCGTCGCTGAAATAAATTGACAAAGAAAAGACGGAAGGATACAGAGACACTAGAGGGACAGTTTAGGACACTGATTTTATTTCCTTCTTTTCGATTCCAACGGCCTCTTGTTGGGGAATTTCCTTCCCGAACAGTTGGCACGTGTTCACCAGTCCAACAGAGAAAGAGACAGATTCTTCTAGTTTATCTTTGGCGCCAGGAAATCTCTCTTTTTTTGCACATGCGTAAATTGTCTTTCCTGTCAGAGGACTCCTGGGAGAATTTAATGTTTATTTTATTTTGTACGTTTATTTAATTTTGTATTTTTATTTTATTTTGTATTTTTATTTTATTTTGTATCTTTATTTTATTCCCACATGTTCCAGGCACTACCTCTCCAGCGAACAATACCTGGCTCCTGAGCCGTCCCCAGAAGGGAGAAGGAAAGACTATTTTTGGTGTTCAGTCACTGGTGTATCTCGACCATATTAACTCGGTCTTGTCCATACTTACAATGTTGAAATTATGACTTCAACAAGAAGTAATATAAAATATTTCATAACCACATCTCGTGTATGGAAAACGTGTTTAAAATAAGATATGGCTGGATGGTAGTGTACAAAAGCAAATGGATGGACCACAATGAATTCGGATTAAAACAATAGTCCTGTCCTGTGTATCTCCATTTATCTCTCTTTTCTGGCCAGGCCCGGTCTCTGATCATTTCTGTTGGGTCAGTTGAAGTAGAGATTCAACAGCTGACCATTTGACGATATCAATTGATCGCATCTAACTTATTCTTGACTCTTTGGTGTGTTCAAACAAATAGCTCATTTTTTTTCCTCTTATCATCTTAATTCGTCTTTGTATCCTCTGGGTGGTCCAGCCAAACTAAGTTATATAAGACTCCTCGAATAACCAGTTTTTTTTTTGCTTGACAACCAATCAGAAACTTTCATATCAGTTAACATGGATACTTGATCTTGCTACACAGTTACGAAGTCTGATATCCCATACCAAATTAAAAAAAAACGAAAAATATAAGTTATTCCACTAAACGAAATAGAGAGTTAACTTCAACATTTCCTGAAAGGTATCAAATGATTTGAGTAACTGAGAATTTTTAACATATAAAGTATGACACTCAAAAATGGCATGCGTATACATTTTTCATTACAACAAACGTTATATTTAGTGGAATTCCGCCTTCAAACACATATTTTTCTTTACCTGACGAAAATTGACAGTGTAGTGGTCTGAATCTTGGGGATTAAAAATCAAGATTAAAATTTAATCCCGAAAGAATCACTGTTCAACAGCTTCAGCAGCTGATAATTCTTGAAATTTCAATCCGAAGTTATTGTTATTAATAATCATAGTAAAAACTTCAATACTAATTTTTACCATATGAGTATCCACACAAATCGTAGAAAACAATGATCCTTAACCTTCGACATTAAGCCAATCACACAAAGAAAGTTTTTATTTTGTCGTTTTTCGGAACGTTCCACAATTTATTGGAAAGAAATTAATGATAATTATTTCTTCGCTTTACGCTATTTCCTATAGCGAGACAAAGTCCTTTACTTTAATTTTAATTCAAAGTTCAGTTTTTAATTCCGAAACATGGTAATTTAATATTATAATACACACACACACACACTCACACACACAAACACACACACACACACATACATACATACATATATATATATATATATATATATATATATAATAATAAAAAGGCTTAAACACTAATATTGCATGGACATAATTTATTCCATTGGAATCGTAAATACGATCCAATTCATCAGACCTACAAATTCAAATTTGGATGAATTAAGTCGTATTTACGATTAAAATGGAATAAATTACGACCATGGAATATTAGTGTTTAAGCCTTTTTATTATATCCTTACTCTGTCCTGGACATTGAGTTCTACCTGGATTCTTCCTCTTGGTATTATTTTTTATACATATATATATATACATATGTATGCGTATGTATGTATTTATATATATTTATATAGTTTAGATATATGATTGCATATGTATGTGTATATTAACCACTAATATTATCAATATCTATCTATCTATCTATCTATCTATCTATATATATATATATATATATATATATATATATATATATATATATATATATATATCATAAAAATATAGTTGTTAACGTATGTTTAAAAGTGATCAATATCAAGGATAGAGTGCATGTAAACATACAAGTTTCCACCTCTTTCTCTCTCTCTTATATATATATATATATATATATATATATATTTATATATATAGATAGATAGATGGAGAGAGAGAGAGAGAGAGAGAGAGAGAGAAATTGATTAATTTTCTATGGCTTATCAACTGCGCTAGTTATTTAAAACCAGAAAATATTTTTCAATTTTAAGAATTATTTTTTTGTGAGATAATAAGGGGAATAAGAGTTTTGCTAATTAATCCATAGCTGGATTGATATCTTTACAAAGGGTATTTGTGAATAAGTGAAAATAATGAATACAAAGGAATTGAATTACCAGAGAGAGAGAGAGAGAGAGAGAGAGGGAGAAGAGAGAAGTAAGAGAGAGAGAGGGGGAGAAGAGAGAAGAAAGAGAGAGAGAGCACACGATTAGGTTGACTAACAAAATAGTTTAATTATTTAAAATATTTATTTGCGGATTATTATCCTCATCAATATTCCGCGTGTAAATAGTGTAAATAAAGATAACTCCTTA